TGCGAAAATGAAATTTATGGCCACGGAATGAACAACTCCACGTCGGGCGGAAACAAAAACAAGTTACTTTAACTCCTAAATGGTGAAATGACGAAAGCTGAAACTAAAATATCAAAAAATTACAAGAGTTTCATAATATATAATGTAAGGAAATAATAAACAACACGATGGAAAGAGGACTATAAAACACTTACATTGTTATGGCCACATAAAGACCAATATTGATACTGCAATATGCTAAAGCCAAAAAAGGAAAAGGAAAAAGACAAGCGAAAATCGCGGTATGTTGTTGAACTGCGCTTAGCGCGAAAAACGAGAAGACAGGCATATTGCTGATATTTACATGATGATATATTATACATACTGCTTAAGACAAGAATGAGATTTTCTCATCAAACGCATGCTCCAACATTTCGCCGTTGCCCAACGACGAATATTGAATTCTTTTATGATACAATCCAACATTTCTGTGGTTAAAAACAAGAATATTGGGGATTCATTTTTTATTTGATCCAACATTTGGCCGCGCTTGAAAGGCCCATATTGGATTCCCTTAATATATGATCCAACATTACGCCTTTTTTAAGACGAAGATTGAATTCTCTTATCAAATGATCCAGCATTCCGCCGTTACTTCACGACGAAAATTGGATTTTCTTACTGCATGGCCAACATCTCACCGTAAATTTTGTTACGACGAAAGCTTGGTCATGTTGTTGCGTGGTTCAAAATTTTGCCGTTTTTCTAGACGGTGAAAGTTGGAAAAGCGTCAATTTTTCTCAGAGAATAATAACCTGTCAGTATCTTTTTTTTAAGCAGGCATTGTCAATTGATTTTGCCTGTGTATTGATAAAGTTTACCTGCGCATTGTCGACCATCTCCAACATAACCTTCTTTGCAGGTACAAATCAATGTACCATCCGTGATACTACAAGTCGCCTGTGAGTGGCAATCGTGGGTAAAACTTGTGCATTCATCAACATCTTAAAAATGAAAAAAGGCGGCTATTTGTTAGATATTTCCATGAAAATAAAGGCAGTTGGGACATGACAATGACCTGCGACGCATTAGGGGATTCGGCGAACTAGGAACTGAAAAATCATGAATATACTGTCATAGTCAACAAATGTCCATGAACGTCATTGTTTTTGATCTGAGATAGTCTTGTAAGAAAGTCGCAGCAATTGAAAATAATTCTGAGGAATGTAATTGGTGTACAATGTTAATGAAGTGAAGCGAAAAGCAGCAGGCGATATGTGACGCTAAACACTCGAGTATGTATAGTTTGAAGGGCTGTATCAGAGAGCTCCGAGTTTCCTCAAGGACGGTATCAAAAAAGTGAAATTCGAAACAGGCAACCCCAAGAGTAACACTTGATCATTAACTCTGATCATCTGGAAAACACTTTTGTTGCTGACTGTGACTGATTATGACCTTTTCACAGCTTAAGAGGAAGTCGTCATGTGAGTCAAGTGATGACTTTCGCCTAGTTTGCTGCATGATCAGTCGCCGCCACCGAAAACAGTCGAAGTCGGAACAATCTGGTCACTTACCTCCTTTATTGACCCTTTAATGCTTATCCTGACAGAATAGTCACTTACCTCCTTCAGGGGTGGACACAGTAATATTGTTACTCAGGATAAACCCAACAGAATTCGACGCATTCACCCAGAGCCTGTAATCACTGGATGGAAGAAGGCCATTGTATGTGAACAGTTTTTCAGCTTCCTCAACAGAAATAGCAGTTTCAATACGATCCTCAGTTCTCAAGTTAGCCGAGTCAAAGATGACAAATTTTCCATACAACATTAAGTTATAAAACAACTTTCCGTTCGGCAAAGCCACCCGTGTCCAGTTTGCGTCAACCGCTGTAGCATTGCGGACACGGGCAGTAAGAGTAACAGTTCCATTCGGTGCGATTTCTTTCGTATAAGCCTCAGCTTTTTTTCCATAAGCGCACCCTTGTGCAGTGCAAGCTCGAACGCGGAAAGTATGAAGGCTGTATGGTTTTAATTGAACCGCTGTGTAATTCGTAAGCTGTGATTCATTCAACACACGCTCTGAAACCGCATCTTGGTACAATTCATAGTTTAAGATGACACCGTTCGGTTTTCCCGGTGCCAACATAATCACAAATAGAGCATATGGACTGAGAGCAATTACAAGAGGTGCTGGGATATCATCAGGGACATCCTCGTGTGTCGTTACCTGAGCTGCTCCACTAAATGTCCCGCCACCTCCACTGAAGGGGCGCACTCGAACGTAATACAATGTCCCTGCCGTGAGATTTGAAATAATTGTGCTGAACACATCAGGGGTGGCGTTAAATTTTGAAACGTATGCGTCTAAAATTTCACAGGTTGCAAATAGTATTTCATAACGTACGATTACCCCATTTGTAATATTAGGGTACCGCCAGTTTACTTCAACCTCCGTTGTACCACGCACAAAAGCCACTGGTGTATAGACTCCCTCCGGGGGTAGTTCCCCGGTTCTTAAACGGACTTCCGGTCCTTGAGCGCAGCCGATTCTTGTGCACGCTGTCAGCTGTAAGAGGTATTCTGTATAGACCTGTAAGTTCCGTATGGTGAAGTTGTTGTCTGTACCGCTGAACACCAATTGTCCATCCAGGGTCAGATTATATTGGATAATAACACCATTAGGGCGTTCGGGCTCGGTCCAGTGTACCTCAAGCTCTTTGGAACGTCGGACAGCGGTAAGGCCTCGGACATTCTCTGGAACTAAGAGGAAAATACAGTTGGTAAAGTTTTGGTTAAGGGTAGGGAAAATTCTCGCTAAAAAATGCAAGTAGGAAATTATCGTGGATTGCCAGGCATGGCAAAAAAACAAACACACACACACAAACAAAAAAAAACCTGCTTCTTCGGTCGTGACATTTTTACCAGGCCCCACTGAACTTCCCCCGACCGTAGAGGCCTGAATTCTGATTTCATAGGTGGTATAGGGTTGAAGACCAGAGATTGAAGTGTTAAGTACATTTGCATGAACTGCTCTTGTTGTCTACTTCATTTTTGTTTTTATCAACTGTCAAATTAATGCGATTTTCAACTTAGTATCAAAAGTAATCCGGGACACTTCGCTCTGTGATTGGTCCAGAAAACTCGCACCACCCTTTCAACCAATCAGAAGTAAAACCGAAAAAAAAATCATCATTTCGTTTCGCATTCATTCCCACGCTTCAGGCAGTCTTCATATTTTTTATTTGGATTCTCATTAGTTTGTTAAGGAATTTTTCTTAATTTAGTCCGACTGGCTGTTGCAATTAGTTTGTTCTTGCTTTTACGACACTCAATTAAACTGATATTGAAATATTACAACCAGGAGACCATGAGCTGTTCATGCTTTTTGAGTTCAGGGACATTAAATGAGCTGCAATAGTAAGGTGAGTTTAGGCAGAGGTTTATCACTGGCTAAAATACAGAAATATATTCTTGTTTCTTGTTTGTTCGGTGGTTCATAAGTGCACAGTATGTTTGATTGATGACTTCTCGTCTTTCTTGAACTGATGCACTTTCAGACTAGAACCCAGTTTCTGCAGCACAGAGCAAATAAGAGCAATGTTACCTCTTGCTTTATGGATGAGATGCTTA